TCTGATTCGCTTCTTCTCTCTTTCCTCTTTCTTCCTCCTTAGTTCGTTGGTTGGGGAAGCCTACTTAACCTATTGATTCGATACAAGATAAACCAGTGAGTCATTCTGCAAACTTCGATTCAGAATACCCCAGCAGCTGATTACAAGCTCGATCCAAAGCAGTCTAGTGAGTCGTTCTGCGAATCCTGTTCGGCAAAACCCTGTCCCAGGGCTCAAACTCGGTTCTTCGCTCTGCGAACCCTGCGTGGCAAACTCTGACCCAGGGTTCAGGCTCAGCTCCTTTGATGCCGGCAATCGGCAGCCTCGTAACCAATCAGAAGCTTTTGGCCTCCGAGATGCCCGACGATCTGAACGGTCACGCGATCTAAAGTGATCGCTAGCGCCTCGCCTAAAACCTCTCAGTCAAACATCCATCTTGGGCTGTAGTGCGAACCAGCAAACTGGTAGGCCGCGCAATTATGGGTATAAACTGGTCTTCATTCTTGGCGCCGACTATACTGCCAAGTTCGGCTCTACACTACAGGACTTAATAGCAATTTCGAGACTTCAAAACATCCCCTTTGATCCCTTTAAGTTACTGTTTACTTGTTTTCCCCGTAGGCCCCCGGTCGTCTGGTCTGTCTTGTTCCCCCCCCCTCCCCGCAAGCTTAAATCAGTCTGACAAGTACCTTCGATGTGGGGTGAGTTGACAACTTCAGTCACAATTTTCGAAGGGGGTACTTTCCCACTTAGACGCTAGTCAGTAATGGGGGTTCACCTCTCCAAGTAAAAGAAGCGACCGCGATTCCGCGCGGATCGGCTGTATTACAAAGTTTAGTACACAAATTATGTTCCCCTTGCGTGCTCTATCTCTCTGGCTCTCACCGCTCACCATTCTTCTTCTCTCTCGACCCCTCCTTCTCACACAGTCTCCCCCCTCCCCCCAGCTCTCTCTCCTACAAGTTCTCCCTCGCTTGCTTCCTAAAGCACTTTGACACTCGTTCTCCACTCTCTCACAGGATACTTTCTGTTACCGTTTTTTTGACTCTCCTCACAGGCTGCTCGGTCTACCTTTCCTCTGAGTGGCGCTCGTTACACCGTTCTTCGTTGACGCCTCTCCAGGATGAAAGATGAAATTCCCATATTCCTACTGTTCATCCCTTATGCATCGAGGGCGCCCTCATCTCCCGTAGAGGAAACAAGGATGATTTTGCAATGAGGGCTAGTTGTTTCTTTGTTCTCTAGCCCTTCCTTTGTCTCCCCTCACTCCATCTCCCCTGCGCTTACCTTGATAGGCTGAGCTCTTCGGTTCCGACCAATCGCTTTGTCGACTCTCTCTGGGGTTCTTACCATTTCCATAGATCACTCGCTCAGTCGTTCCAGCGATCAGCAAATTGCAGATCCACCCGACTAAACGGGTTCTGAGCACGCAATGCGCGCAGTCTTAAACCTCACCTCCGATCCGCCCTACTTGCCCGACATGCAAGGGGCTGAGAGCGCCGGCTGCGACAGTCAGCTCTCCACTCGCATGCTCATTGCTCCCAGATACAGCGCTTGACAGGAGTGTTCTTCACCTCACTCCCCCAGCAGGACACCAATCATGTTTGACATGTTTGTAAGCCGCGCGCGCCCGGAACGCTGCCCCGTCCTCCCTACTTTCTGTAGCTCGTGTCTTCTCTCTCTCACTGCGCTCATCCCCTTCAACAACTGGTTCATTCCAATCGAGGCCGACGAGCGCTGACTCTGCGCTCACGAGGCGTTCCGAACTGAGCTCGGATGTGGGCGGCGTACACCGAGCACGCCTCCCCCTCCTGTTCTCTTCTGTCGACTTGGCAAAATATGATTCCCTTACTCCCCCGAACCGGCCTCCCAGCGTTGATTGAAGCTTTGGCGGGCTGGGTACACCTGGCACACAGTTCAGCCACCTCTGTCCGAATCCTCCCTTCTGCCTCCCGCGGTCCTCCGCTATATCCAGTTTGAAATGCGGGCCCCGTGCTCAGGAGCTCGCCCCCTGCATCCACTTCACCTCTTGGCCACGGGCCCTAGCGGATCAGCGACACCTGCAAAACCAGACCCTTAGGCCCGGAGCAGTGACGGCACCGAAGCAGGGGAACCATGTAAACCCACCGGCACTACCAGTCACCGTGCGATACTTTCGAAACTGTTGTGTGGCCCTTCAGACCCAGCAGTATCAGACCCACAGAACGTCGTAATCTCCAGGTAGCAGAATAGTACCTTGAGCCAAAAACAGACCGAGTGCAGTACCGCAGAACTGCGTAGACCCCCGTACGAATACGGGCCGTCCGTATGTACGTACGGCCGTACGCATGGGCTCATGTGGTCGTACGGGCCGTACGTACGGAAAAAAAGCAAAAAATGAAAATTCAAAAAGATCTGAAAAAAAAAAAATGTTATGCAGGAAAATCAACTGAAACACTTTTGCCTCAGGGTCATATTGAAATTCGTTACCAAATTTGAGATTAAAAAAAAAACACTTTTTTTTTTTTTTTTTTTTTCGTACGGGGCTGTATGTACGGCCGTTCGTACGGCCGTACGATAAACCCCCCGTACGTCGTACGGAGTGTTACACAGCCGCAGAATGAAAATACAGCCCGGCGGCGAACTATCCCTGAACCTACATATATCCAAAGTTAACACTTTTATCTGCCGCTGGCCACACTGTCGATCGAGAGCCCAACCCGCAGTTGACGATACTGCACAGCACCATAGAACCGGAGCCACTGTAGCAGCCTCCGACCAATTGCCAGACCAACGTGCGTAAGTGTCCCAGGCTAGTACACACACCAAAACAATGGTACCGCATCGCGGTAGACCGCTGGGATGCCGAACCAATAAAAGTAAGAGGATAAATAGAGTCGACCAGCAGCGTGCCCCATCAGTACCATACTAGACCGAACCCGAACAATAGGAACAGACCATAGTGCCATGTTCTAGTGTCGTATCAATTCCGAACCTGAAATAAGTGTTTCGAGCTGCAGCGACCTGTACCGTTGCCACACCGAGGCCAAACCAGTAACCGCACCGAAGATAGTTGTTTCAAGCTCCAGAGGACTACGGCCGTCTCGGACCATTGCCAAGTACTGTGCTGAGCAACAAGTATGCTGTATAAGTATCGGACTAGAGATCGTACCGAAAGGAAAGTACCGAACCGCGGAAAAACTGGCTCAGTGCCAAACCAGTGACCACACAAAGTAGTAGCGGCGCGTCGCAGCAACCCAATCCAACACCACACCTTTTCCGAGCCAGAGTGCCGTGCCCGAATCGAACCAGCAACATACGAGTCACCGTACCAAGGCAAAAGGACTGCATTATACTGCCCCGTGTCAAGATAATGCCACCAATCCAGTGCGGGCCGTGGCAGTCCGGGCCTCAATACCGCACCAAGCAAAACAAAGCGTACGTGTACCGTACCAGCGCTGAATTGGTGATCTGCAACAGTCCCGTATCAGGAAATATCCGCATCAACAATTATTGTACCGTGCCTGTTCCAAACCAGTCGCCACCCCTCACCAATGCGGAACGACGCAACATGCCGCGGATATACCATACCAATACCAAACAAATGGCAGCGCCACACCAGTTCCGAACCAGTAGCCGTACCAAACCATTGTAGAATACCGTACCAGCGTACCATGTCGACCATGTCTCTGTGACCAGAAAAATAGAATACTATGTCGTTCCGCAGACACACCACGCCTATAGAAGCTTAAACCGTACCTGTCTCGAATCAATGCGACTGTACCGTACCTGTCCCGAACCAGCACCGTGCCAGACATAAATGTACCGTCTAGCAGAAAACTGGTCCAGCACCAAACCAATAACCGAGACTGTCCAATACAAAGCACAATACCATGCCCCAGATGACCCATGTCAATTCTAAAGTAGACCCCGTTATCGCACCGTACGAACCATGCCGGGACCCATCATCAGTCCCACTCACTCAACAACACTCGACCGTCGTGGTGGTAGTAATCAGGTCAATCGGGAAAATCAAGGGAACACATACAGATCAGCAGACAGTAGGTAAGTAAATGATTTTTAGCAAAACCCCATCAAAAATGAATCCCATAAAAAAATAATCAAATAATAAATAATCTTTCGTTTTGTTATTTTTATTATTAAATTAAAACCAACTAAAAATGACGACAATTCCGCCAAAAGTGAATTCCCAAGAAAACTAAATAATTAACAATTTTTTATTCGGACAGGGCTGTAGATTGATGAGTGGCGTGGATTTTGCTTGTTCAATTTTTTGTATCGTCGTTCTTGTCCTAGGATTAGCTTCGAGTTTTCCATCCTTTTTTGCCTTTCTTTTCTTTATTTTTCCTTGTCTTTTTCTTTGTGTTGCCCCCTGAGTCCGCCTTTTGGGCTGCTAGCTGAGGGGTAAGGCTACGTTTTTTAGAAGTTCCTGGTCTGCACTGCGGACACCAGGCATATATCTTTTCCGGAAGGCTTTGGATGAATGGTAGGCTGGCGTTGTTTTCTGGCTGAATTTTGAACCTGGTCAGCTATTTGGGGACTGATAGTTCATGATCTGCGCACCAGGCGTGTTGTTTTTGGTATCACTCAAGTGGAGTCATCTCCTGTCCCAACTTCAGTAGTATGGTGTTCCATTTGAACTAGGGGAACCTGATGTTTTTGAACGCGACGTGACTGAACCATAAATAGGGAGTAGTGCAATGACTTAGACCTCTTTCGTACAACCGCCTCCCGCTTCGCGGTGGCGGTCGGAATGTGGTAAGATCGGTGGTTCTTGGGTGTTGAGGATGTTTTCGGACAGGGAGACATTGAATATACTATGATTTGCATTCACTTTGTCATTTCCTTGTGGTATGACTACTCTCCTGTGAGTTGTGGTTTGACTACTCTCTTGTAAGTTTCTTTCTATCAATCTGTGTACTGCGCATGTGAACTGTTCTGGAGACAACTAGCCGGAATAAGTGAGCATGATCTCCTACGTTACCTACGTTACCTACTTTACCTGTGTTACCTACGTCACTTAACTGCTTATGTTGTAGTAACTAGGTTCTTACCGCTGCTATCGATCTTAACAACGAAATACCGGAGTCTTGGAAGTATCACGCATGTCGGACGTGCTATGGCGTGCTACGGCGATCAACGGGACCGGGGTTATTACGACGACCGAGATAACAGGGATGGAGGGCGGGACGGACGTGATTACCGTGACCGGGCGTATGAACGGGAGCCACGCCGCGGGCCTGTTACATGCTTCAACTGCGGTGATACCGGACATTACGCTAATCAGTGTACTCAGCCGAGGCGTCAGCGTAATGCTCGACCGGCGGCATCGTCAGATTCAAGGGGAAACCGTGGCCAGAGCAGGCGGGCCGTTGCGAATGACCCACTTGAATCGAAAGTGGCCGAGATTGGCAAGAGTGTGGCAGCTGTCTGCCAATTCGTTGAGATCGAACAGCAGAAGAAAGCGTTGAAAGAACGGAAGAAGATGGAGAGGAAGGAAGCGGAGGAACGTGCAGCGGCGGAGCAACAGGAGCTGGAACTGAAGCGGAAGAAGGAGGATAAGGTTAGACGAGATGCGGAGAAGTTTGAAGAAGTCAACAAACACTTGGATATCAAGGTTGCACTCCGAATCGGGGAGTTACGAGAGGATGTACGGGAGGACGTACGACTTGAGATACGGGAGGCTATTGACGAATTGTGCCGTGCAGTTGTGCACGCGGTAAGCAGAAGGTTGTACCTACTGCGGGATCTGGGCATGGAAGCAGCGCGAGTAGCAGTGATACGGAGCAGTTGAGCGAGAAAACTCGAAAGTTGTGCATCTCCGAGAAAAGAAAGCGCGGACCTGAACCGATGTTCGGAGGCAGCCCACCGATGGAGATTCCGCCGAAGCGTACACCACGCAAGGCGGTCAAACCTGCCCAGCTGACCGAACGCCTCACACGTGCTAAGGCTAAGAGACAAGGAGGGATGCCCACACCGAAGAAGACGCCACCGTCTATTCGGAAGAAGGCTGCAGCATCAGGAGTGGTGAGCAGATTGAAGCTCGAAAAGAGGATCATGAATGACCTCAAAGGGCTTGATGCCCTTGTTTTGCAGAACATTTGTAAGGATGAGGGCATAGCGTATAACGGTAAGTTCGAATCTATCTTCGACATCGCCGCGCACGGTGCTCAGCTTGCCTACGGGCCTGAAGAGGAGGAAGTCAAGGATGCTGAACCTGTAGTCGTCACTACCGATGATGTCGACGATACAACACAGACCACTGAAGACTAATGTGTCTTCAGTATTGCTGACCTTTGGGCTATTGTGAAGATTTTGGCTGATTTGCGAACTCTCTTGGGTTATGTTGATGCGCGTATTGAAGAATTGTTTCGGCTGATAGTCGTCCGCTTAGCCTTTACGGGGGTACTTCGCTCGACACGTAAGTGTCTGGACTCTTGGCGCCGCTTGTATGATATCTATGGTACTGACTTCGTTAATTTGCAGCTCAGTGTTTATGTAGCTTGTTCACCATATTGCAAATCGCAATACATTGGAAAAAGTACTCGGCATCTGGATGTGCGCTGGAGAGAGCACATTTACGCAAGTAAAAATCGTAAGCCAAATCACTTTTACAGATGGCTTAGTCAGTTTGGACCCGGGAATTATGTGCTCATTCCGGTAGATACGATTGCGAGTTGTGAGCTAACGAAGTTGGAAAACGTGTACATTAAACAGTGGTCATCGTTTCTCAATACGACCGGAGTCAAGAAGTCCACGAGGAATAAGAAGTCAAGTAAGGGTAAAAAGGAGAGAGCTAGAGCAGGTAAGGGGCTTGTTGAGTTGGAACGTACCATTGCCCCGTTACGTTTTCGCGTAGAACCGTCACATTAGTGGCAGCTTGACTTGTATGACATCCTGAAATGTCGCGACCAAGGCAGGGGAAGTTTTGAAATCTTTGGGAGTGGGGGTAACACGTGGCAGACACCATGGAAGGCAATTTCTAAGGCCTTTGGTATGACTAAGCTTAGCAAGGGGTTGGAGAAACGGCTGTTGAAGGATGCTAAGGCCTGGTTCGAATCTGGCGGTCCGCTGGTAGTCGACTTTGTGGTCATGTGGAAACCCCGATGTGGTTATCTCAAATCTTTTTTGAGTTCACTACTGAAGAACCCTCGCAGTTTGGATAAGGTTTACTCATGGGGCTTGAAGTCATTGCTGTGCCTTTATAGTGTTGTTAAGGACTTTTCCAGGAAAACTACGCGTAAATATCTGCGCCGTTTGCTTTCTCGAATGTTCTCTGATAAGTTTGATCTTAGCATGAGTGTTGACCTGCTGGTGAGGGTTAAGTTTGACGATCGACTCAGTCTGTGTGAGCTTCGCAAATTAGTGAATGATACACTGATGTGTTGTGATTTACCACCATGTTTTAAACATCGTGCACGTAATAAGACGCGAATAGTTTGGCAAAAAAAACGAACTGTTGGTGAATTATTGCATAATCATCGAGCTTTCGCAGCTCGTGAAGTGCTGACCTGTCAGTGTGCAGGTCTCCCCTATCCCCGAGTGGATGGGCATGTGCATTTTCGTTTAAATCAGGATATGGTCGAACAACCATTATTGGTTAACGCTAATAACATACCCAAGGCGCAGATGGCTGACCGGATCTCACAGCTACGAGATGAAATCGAATCTGATTTTCGTAAATGGAGGAATTTCAAAGGTAAGTTTCCCTGTATTTCGGATGAGGCGTTATCTAACTGTGTGATCAGTAATCGGATGGAGCAGAGTGCGGGTTTGAGTCTGTCTGATGTGGATGCTCTGAAGAAACGGTTTGATGGGCTTGTACTAACTTCCCTTGATCGTAATCCGGGGGAAACAGTAGTCATGTGCCCCAAAACCTACTATGAAGCTATGATGGACATGTTCGTGCGAAACACTGGGTATAAAGTCATATCGGTAAAGGAGAGTACGATCCTATGGGAAATCCGGGAGGATGTGAGAGCCTCGAACCTGCAGAAATTCGTTCGGTGGGATGCGAAAGGGCAAATTGGCAAAGCTTATATTACTCCTAAGCACAAAGACCTGACGAGGTACCGACCTATCTGCCCAACCCTTGCTGAACCTATGGTTCGAGCTGGAAGGGTGGTGGCACGAGGTCTGAACTTTCTGCTCTCTACTGTTCCTCGAGATTTTCACTTTAATCTCCCAGCAGTTTCATTGTTGACGACTAATCTGGAGTCTGGACCGCATTAAAACCAAGATCAGGCGACTCGACCGTACCAAGGACCTGCGAGTGATGTCTTTTGACATCAAAGACATGTTCAGTAGATTGCCACACGAGGATATATTGAGAGTTTTGGATTGGTTATTTGATCACCATCAAGGTAAGGGTCGGACCTCTGTAAGGGTCAATACGAGAGGTAAGGGAGCCACTTTCGGGAGAACGACAGGCGCAGACCATTGGAGACCTTTGGCCTTCAAGGATATTATTGCCTTTCTGCGCATCGACCTCGTGCATACGTACACTTATGCTACTAATGTTGTTGTGCGACAGGACGTGGGAATCCCGATGGGGAAGATGACCAGCCCACCATTAGCCTGCATCCTGTGCGCCTACTCAGAGTACTTGTTCCTGGGTAGTTTGGGTAGACTTAACAGACGAGTTTTTGGACTGCGCCTTGTGGATGATGTGATTTTGATCACAGTATCACTGTCTGAACTTGGCCATGAATGGGTGCTGCAACAATTCGATGGATGCTACCCCAAGAACCTGTCTCTTAAACGCACTGATGATGGGAAGCAAAGACTGGACTTCTTGGGATGCGAAGTAAGATGCCGCAGCACCTATCCTTTTCTAGGCTGCGTGCAGATGTCACGTAATGAGGTTAGCATGTGGAATGGTGATGTGCTGGAAATCAAGAATGGTCAGTCTTTTCATTCCTGGGGAAGCAAACAACAGAAGAGTGCTACTATAAGTAGCTACCTTAGTAGGATAGACCAGAATACGTCTATCAGGAGCGAAATCCCAGGACGTGTGTTGTCACTGAGACGTGAGCTGAGAATGAAAGACTTTCCTATGGATTTCTTCAACAAGGTGCTGAAGAGGTTCGCGTACCGAAGGGACGAAGTTTGGGATCAGACAGTTAAGTTGCTTTGCTAGCAGTTGTGGATTTCTGGGATGACCTGTCGCTGAACAAGGTCCGCAGTACTGTGTTTTTTGAAAATAGTGCTCATAGTGATTTCTTATTTTTATTCGGACAGGGCTGTGGATTGATGAGTGGCGTGGATTTTGTCTGTTCGATTTTTTGTATCGTCGTTCTTGTCCTAGGATTAGCTTCGAGTTTTCCATCCTTTTTTGCCTTTCTTTTCTTTATTTTTCCTTGTCTTTTTCTTTGTGTTGCCCCCTGAGTCCGCCTTTTGGGCTGCTAGCTGAGGGGTAAGGCTGTCTCTTATACACATCTAGATGTGTATAAGAGACAGGTAGTACGGTGTTCCATTTGAACTAGGGGTACCTGATGTTTTTGAACGCGACGTGACTGAACCATAAATAGGGAGTAGTGCAATGACTTAGACCTCTTTCGTACAACCGCCTCCCGCTTCGCGGTGGCGGTCGGAATGTGGTAAGATCGGTGGTTCTTGGGTGTTGAGGATGTTTTCGGACAGGGAGACATTGAATATACTATGATATGCATTCACTTTGTCATTTCCTTGTGGTATGACTACTCTCCTGTGAGTCTGTCTCTTATACACATCTAGATGTGTATAAGAGACAGCTTTCGTACAACCGCCTCCCGCTTCGCGGTGGCGGTTGGAGTGTGGTAAGATCAGTGGTTCTTGGGTGTTGAGGATGTTTTCGGACGGGGAGACATTGAATATACTATGATATGCATTCACTTTGTCATTTCCTTGTGGTATGACTACTCTCCTGTGAGTTGTGGTTTGACTACTCTCCTGTGAGTTTCTTTCTATCAATCTTTCTTCTCTTTTACTATTTTTAATTATTTTCCTCAGTTTTAATTTTGTCGTCAGAATTAATAAAATTTGAAGGGTCATCCCTTCGTCAATCGCTTGGTGTGAAAGGGACGCGCCTAGGCCTACTACCATGCCTCCGTACCGCGGCCGACCGGTTCAGGAACAGCCTCGGAACGGACAAAAATGGCAGGTCCTAGGCGCGGCAGGCGCGACCGTTCCTCTTTTAGATTTTAAGGGTCAGTTTTAATAGTTGATAGGGAGAAATTTTTGGGATGTTTTTCTGACCCCTGATTTCTTCCGACGAGTCCAATGAGAGTCCCGGTCGACCCCTCTCTAAGCAGTTAATTTTTTTTATTTTATTTTTTATTTTTTTCAGTGAAAGCCCCTGTGTAAGCCCTCTATCCCGGCGATGGTAAGAGAATCGTCCGGATTGAGGGCTTATCTATTGGGCTGCTCCATCTATTGGTGGGGAGCGGCACCTGCTGGAAAGGGTTAATCCTCCGAATTTCGGGTGGCCGACTGACCTTCGGCCGCCCGACACCGTCACTTGGACACTCCGTCGAATGTGAACGAGGTCGAGACTACGCCACCCCCCCCCATGTCTGCCCCGGCCTCGGATCGCCATCGAAAGGTGAGTCATCATTTGTTGTTCTCTGTTTCTTCTTCCTCATACCATCTTCTTCTTCTTCTTCTTCTTCTTCTTCTTCTTACTATCTTCTTCTTCTTCTTCTTCTTCTTCTTCTTCTTCTGGCAGAGCCGAAGTCCAAAGTTTGTGAAGTAGAGAGAGAGAGAGAAAAGTAGTGAATGCGCACGGAGGGGAGCGGGCGCACAGGGAGAGAGAGAGAGAGAGAGAGAGAGAGAGAGAGAGAGAGAGAGAGAGAGAGAGAGAGAGAGAGAGCAAAGTAGTGGGCGCAGACGGAGGGTAGCG